CCACAGCAACCTTTCACTTAGAAGAGCAGCAGTCATGAATTTCCATTTTATCTGTCTCAATTGACTGCATTAAGTTTAATATGTGTGATTGGCATTTGGAAGAAATAAGCTTGAATTGTCACTTTGTCTTACCTAAACATCCCTTTTTTTTATCCTCCCATAATACCTTCTTTTGTTATGTTTGTGGATCTTTTCCTTCCTTGTAGTCTTCTAGGCTTACTGTTTGAGGTAGAGTGTTCATTAAGGATTCTGTAACTCCCCAGGGAAAAGATGATAAAAACAGGAGCCCTGTAAGGCAAATGATATTCACATTAAAAAATTCCAAAGTACCTACAATGTTAAAGTTATAACAGCTTACTGCAAAACACACATAGCCACCCTAAGAACAAAATAAGTACTTTTCTTTTTTAAACCGGTCCTTGTCCTGTCCCTGGGCTCTGTCCCTGGGCTTCTTTTACTCAAGATTAGCTCTACCAGGGCTGGGAAGTGGCTCAGTGGTAGAGTGCTCACCTTGCATGCATGAGGCTCTGGGTTCGATTCCTCAGCACCACATAAGCAAAAAGAAAAAAGCCGGAAGTGGCACTGTGGCTCAAGTGGTAGAGCGCTAGCCTTGAACTGAAGAGCTGAAGGACAGCACCCAGACCCAGAGTTTAGGCCCCACAGCCGGACCCCCCCCCCCCCAAAAAAAAAAGATTAGCTCTACCACTTGAGCCACAGCACCACTTCCAGATTTTTCTGAATAGTTTATTGGAGATAAGAGTCTCACAGACTTTCCTGCCTGGGCTGGCTTTGAACTGTGATCCTCAGCTCTCAGCCTTTTGAGTAGCTAGGATTATAGGTGTGGGCCACTGGTAACCAGCTAATAAATACATTTTTATACTAATAACTGTATAATAATTTATATTAAGATTTTCACCTTTCATAAGGTGAGACTATTTAAATTTTGACAATGCCATTATAAAGAAGTCTAATGAATGAGTTACTTCACAGAAAATTATGTAAATAGATTGTGAATATACTGTAAGATAGACAGAACCTTTGATCTGATCTGTCTGAATCTTTACACTTTTTACTAGTATTTCTCTGTGTTCTTTTAAAAAAAGCTCTCTATCATGTTACTCATAATGTGATGCACTTAGTAGTGCTAGAAAACTTGGGGGAATACAAAAATCACAAGTCAAAAGTAATATGTCACATTTAACTAATTTAAGGAATAAAAGGATGATATCCTTTCATTATTATTATTTGTTTACTGTTTTCCATATGTACTCTCCATCTGCCATCCAGACCTGACTGTACTTCTAAGAGTAAACAGGAGTAGATGAGATTAAATGCATTCAGAGTAGTCTATCCAGAGATCTTATTCCACTTTTTCTTTTAATTAATAAGTTTTTTTATTGTGACAATACCATACAGAGCAAGGTAATGAGTACATTTCTTACCAAGCATTGTTGCCTCCTCCTTTGTTTCCCCTTCCCATCCCTTCCCATCCTCCCCCGCTCTGCCTGTGCCCCCCCCAAAGTTGTAAAGTTCGTTTTTCGACATAACGTCTTGTACATCTCATTGTTGCAATGGGTCCTTTTGAACTTTTTTACTTATTCTTGTGAGAAGGTTAGTTAGCAGAAGTATAATTATTCGTAATTTTTTAAAAAAAGAAATGACAAAATAAATATCAAAAGAATGTATGACTTACCCAGCTCATAGTCCTAGTCAGACAAGGCTGAAGCAGGGAACTAAAACCAGATATAAGGGGGAAACCGTAGCAAGCCAAGTGTCTTTTCTTGGGTAGTGAATATGAACAATGAGTTGACAGCTACTTCGAACTAAATTTTGTAAAGAAGTTAATCTCTGTAAAGCTTGTGAGAAGTAACAAGAAACCTTTATTTTCAGAAGGGAAGGAACTAAAAAAATATATTAGCACAAGCCATTTATTAACCTCTGGCAACATTATTCTGAGGCAGGAGAGGGGGTGGGGAGAGAGAGTGACTGGGGGGGGGGAAGGGAGAGGGAAAGGGAGAGGGAAGAGGAGAGAGAAGAGGAGAAGAGAGGAGAGAGAAGAGGAGAGGAGAGGAGAGAGGAGTGAGAGGGGAGAGAGAGAGAATGAGCAAGCCTGGGGTTTACAAAGAGAAAACTTAGAGTTGGATCTTAATTATTTTTACCAAATAGAACTAATAATGCCAGCAGAATTCTCTCAAAGGATGCTGTGATGATCAATAAAATGCCATCGAGAAGCATTCCATAACATCTTAGAAGCTACTTGGTAGGTAAAGATCATTCTTGTGTAGCAAATAAGAAAAATCTGTCCTGTACAGGAAAGAGCATAGAATAATTGTTAGATGCAGGCTTGAGAGTCAAACGAAGGAGTTGCAATAGAAGGGGTGCCACCATCTTGCTCTGATACTTGGCTAAAGTTTCTGGAGACCTCAGCTTCCTATCTTTGAAGTAAGATAGTAATTTCATTTATACTAAGTTTTTTGGAGACTATGATTTTTATGAACTTTATGTAAGTTATTGTATGAAGTACATAAACAATTGTAAATGCTCCTAGAATTAGCTTTTTAAAATTCATTTTTATTCACTTATTTATTTGAGGCAAGGCCTCACTATGAAGGCCAGACAAGTCTGTGTAGCCTGGGTTGGCCGTGAACTCTAAGTTCTTCTGTCTCAACCTGAGTACTAAAATTTCAGGTGAGCACTACCACAACCAGCTCAAATTTGATTTTTGAAATTATTGTTACCATTAAGTAGTAGAACAGGGTGTTACCATTTAGTTAGGCATTTTATGATTTCAGTGCATCTTGATAAATGTCACCTTTTTCAACATTCTTGCTCATCCCTCCCAATCCATCATTTCCCTCATTTTTCTTAATTTTGTAGGAATACATTGTATTCTTGACTGCATTCTTCCCCCTTCTCCTCTTCATTCTTCTACCTCTCTCCCCTTGATCCTGCCTCACCCCTTTCAAGTACCCTTTTCCAGGTGTTTATTTGGTTGAATTTTGACCTCACCTTTCTATGGAATTATACCATTTGAATTCTTCCTTGACTTTACCACATTTCAGTTAATACATTTGTCCACGCTTGCATACCACCTAATATATTTAATTATAACTTTATAAGCTAATTGTGGCTTCTACATATGAGTGAAACCATTCATCCTTTGTCTTTCTGGGCCTGATTTGCTTCACTTAAAGTAAAACATTTTCAAGGTCTCCCCATTTCTTTACAGATGATAAAATATCCTTCTTTCTAATAGATGGGTAAAATTCCATTGTGTATATATGCCACATTTTCTTGATCTATTTGGGCTAAATCCATACCTTGGCGATCATGAATAGTACTACAATGGATACAGTTGCGCTGGGCTTTACTGTATCCTAGTTTGTAATCTTTTGGATAAACGCCCAAGAGTAGCATTTATCAAAGACTTTAATGTAAGATATGAAACCATGGAACTATTACAGGAACTAGTAGGAGAAACATTAAGACTCCTTGGCACAGGTAAGAATTTTCTGAGTAAAGATGACGAAACACAGCAAATCAAAGACAGACTTGATAAATGGAATTGCTCGATAAATGGGATCACATCAAACTAAAAAGTTTCTGCATGGCAAAGAAAATAGCCAAAAAGCTGAAAAGACAGCTTACAGAATGGAAGAAGATTTTTGCCAGCTACATATCAGACAGCAGCTTAATATCCAGAATATACAGAGAACTTAAAAAAACACCTTGGGATGGGAGGCATGGCTCAGGTGTTAAGAGTGCCAGGGGATGAGCAAAAGCATCAGATACCTAGTTCAAGGCCTGGTCCTGGACAAAAAAAGAAAAAAGAAAAAACCCTCAACCAATAACACAATCACAAATGGGCTAATGACTTAAAGAGAGTCTTCTCAGAAGTAGTAGTTAAAATGGCCAACAGACACATAAAGAAATGCTCCACATCTTTGCCATAAAGGAAATGCAAATCCAGACAACACTGAGATTCCATCTTACCTCAGTTAGAATAGTCATTATGAAGGAAACAAACAATAACAGATGCTGGTGAGGATAGATCCAAAAGGAAACCTTCATACACTGTTGGTGGGAACATAAGCTTGTTCCACCAATCTGGAAAGGAGTATAGAGGCTCCTCAAAAACTTAAACTTGCTTTTGTAAAGAAAACTTTGGGCTGGCTGTGGTGATGCACCGGTAATCAACGAGGAGGACATGTGATGTCCACCTTTTTCATGATTGCCAGGTTGTTTGATCAGCCATCACATTAATATCACTTCTCTTCTTCATTTAGATTTACTGCAAATTGTCCTCTCCACAGACCTACCCTTGCTGAGTGCTCAAACTAAAGCTGCTTCCCCTTTGATCCCTATATTTGATTTGTGTGTGTGTGTGTGTGTGTGTGTGTGTGTGTTTCTTTGTAACATTTGACTGCCATTGCTTTCTCTATGTATTTGCTTATTCTATTGTCTGTCTGAGGTCTCCTTCCCTGAAAACAAGGACATAAGCTTTGGGAGAACAAGGTCCTTATAGGATATCACTCAGTGTCTAGGACAAGGGATTGTATATGCTAAATTCTCTCTAAGTATTTAGTGGACAAATATAAAAATCTATTGTTAATTAGCACTTGCTTTTGTTTAAAAAGTAAATGCAATGATTAATATTTATGGAAAAAGTAGACAGCATAATGGCGGTTCAAGCTTTCTGTAATTCACTTAATGTATGTGTCAGAGTAGTGTAGCAATTTGTGGCTGACAAATGTTAAGATCTCATACCAATTTGTACACATTTGTACACATCTGCACCTTTGTGACTTTTACTTGTAAAGTTGTAGATCTTGAGACTCTAAAGGAATGTAGAAATAATTGATGTCTTTAATTAACATATAGCTGATTTCCTAGTGTTTGCTCTCCTTTGATTTATACTAACAGAAAACGGAACTCCTCTGCAGTAAGACTCCCATAAACCATGGTAAAAAAAGCTCTTTGTTTTTCATTCCCCTTCTTAGGACTTAAAATCTCCAAATCAGAGGGATGAAATTGCAGGGGCCAGAGCTACCTTGAAGGAGAACTCCCCGCTCTTACATTCCATCTGTTCAGCCTGTTTGGAGCATTCTGATGTTGCTTCCTTAAAAGCCAGCAAGGACACAGTTTGTGAAGAGATCCAGAATGCCCTCGATGTAATTTCAAATGCTTCTCGAGGCATCCAGAGTATGCCAATGCCCTCAGAACCTCAGGCAGCAACCTTGGGAAGTGCACTTGATGAGCTGGAGGTAAGTTGAAAGGCAACATGTGAGTCAATATCTCAATACAAAAAAAAAAAAAAAGGTCTAAAGTGGATTTTTCAGATCTCTGCGTTAGAAGTTAGTGTATGAGAAAATAAAATCCAGTTATCTAATCATTCTCTGTGATCCTCTTGTGTCTTCCAATGTCCGAAAAGGAAAATATCAGTAGACTTCTTGATTACATTTTTGTCAAGGAATTCAATGACTATGAATTGGAATTATTACTGTATTAGAATAATGGTTTTATTTTATGGAAGATAAAGATTTGACATATAGGACTTATTTACTTGATGAACACATTATGAACACTGTTGTGAATGTTTGGGGGATTATCTGATCAGTGTCCTTCACAAGAGCTTGCATTTTAACAGGAACATACTTAAAGCAACAAACATGATTAGTAACTGATCTATATGTAAATAGGTTATAATGAGAAGGTGAAATGTTATCAAACCCTTCAATGAGGCTGGGGAATGGGGCAGATGAAGATCTAGAACAAAAACTTACAGGTGTGACCCCCCTTCCCCCCCCATACTGTTTGTGACAGTATAGGGACCAAGGTGAAGAAAGCAGGATGAGTATAGAGCTCAGGGATCAGATTATAGAGGGTATGAAGCATCTTTGCTGAGGGAGGAGCCTCTGTAAGGTCTTTTTAAAATTTTTATTGTTGTTATAAAGGTGATGTTAGTAATTCCTTCTTGAACAGCGTGACCCCTTCCCTTGCTTTTTCCCAGTTTTCCCTACTGACCTCTTCCTCCACAAATGGAATAGTTCTTTTTCAATTGTCTAACTTGTATCACTGCTGCATTTGTTCACACTTTGTCCTACTATTTCTGTGCTACCTCCTTACCCTCCCTCAGACACATAAACTTATATATAAGACAAAAGGTACAAAAATCAAAAACAGGAACAAAGGAAAAAAATTAAAAAACACTCTTGTTTCCATTTCTTGGAGTTCAGTTTGACAAATGTCATTTTATATGATCATATACATATAGCTATTGAGTCTTTGTGATCCTCTCCTAAGAACATCCTCCTTTGGCCACACTGTGTGAATGTTGAAAGACTAGGTATATTTTTATCAGGTCCACATGTATTTTTTGTGTGTTTTGCCATCCAGTGTGTTTATCTGCAGATTTATAGACACATTCTAGTTACAACAAATGAGGGAAAACATGCTTCATAAACTGAGATTTATGTCTTTAAAAAAAACTATGTTGGCTATAGATGGAGCATTAAGTGAAGGAGAACAAAGATATAGAATAGTTAAAAAACCAAAAGAAGGAATAACCCAAGTTCCATCCATATACTTTTATGAACTACCTTATTCCACTCGACATTTTAATTTGGAACAGGGTGGTGTCAGTGTACAACAAGCTAAACTGGATTTTGACAGAATGGATGTGGGGTATGAACAAAAGAGGAGTCTTGGCCAATGCTGTAGACTGAGTCCTCTAGAGGCACACACAGAATGGAATTAATAATATGAAATATAATTAAGAATTAACATCTGGAAAGGGAAAAGGGAAGGAACAGAACTTATGTCTGGGCAGAGGAAGAAATTACTTGAGGCCCAATCAAGAGGTCTTCAGAAAATACAGCCTTCCAAAGTATATCTTGTTAAGTTGAAAGGCTTATGTTTATTGCAGATGAAGTCACATGTTTATTTTATTTTTGTTTTAAATTTTGTTTGAACAACTGTATGGATGAGGATTCATCAGCTGAAACAGGGAAGACTGTAGGTTAAGTTGCTTATAGGAGAAAAATCAGTAACTCCAGTTAAGAAGTTTGTGAGATCTTCAAGTTTGATGTCAAAAATCATTACCCAAGTCAGGCATGTCCTTCTTTAATGGAAGACAGTGTAGTATAGTACTTAGGAATAAGGGTTCTGTATTCCTACTTCCTGGGCTCCTATATACCTGTGACAGTTAACTGTCTTTTCACCTTGGCAAAGTTATTGCATAACACTTTGATTTTCTTAACTTTAAAACTGGGACGATAGTGGTCTCAACCATAAATGCTGTTAGAATGAATGAATTACTAATATAGGTATCTGTCACATATTAATTACTAGTAAGTCTTAACTCATATCACTAATAGTCATGATCATTTGGAGGCAGATTCTTCAATAATGAAGAAGTCTAAATATGACAATTACTAAAGTTTAATCGATAACTTTAAAAACTAGGGATGGGAAGGTGGCTCAGTGGTAGAGTGCTTGCCTTGCATGCATGAGGCCCTGGGTTCATTTCTTAGCACCACATAAGCAGAAAAAGTCAGAAGTGGTGCTGTGGTTCAAGTGGTGTTGCGCTAGCCTGGAGCTGAAGAGCTGAGACAGTGTCCAGATCTGGAGTTCACACCCCACAACTGACATAAACAAATAAATAAATAAAAACTACATATAACATTATAATGCCTATATTCTGTATTTGAGTTTAGGATAGTCAGGTTTCCTTTAATTATATGTCTCTTAATAGGGTCTTCATATCTAATCCAATATTATGAAATTCTTAATTACTGGTATACATGTGAAGAGTTATTAAATTTCTAGCTGTCATCATCCATGTGAAAATTTTAGGAACATTTGTTTAATAAGATAGAAGATTAATAGATATTCTCTAATTAATTGTTTGTCTTGTGTAATGAACACTCCATCATCTTGTCCATTAAATGTGTTTTATCTTTATAATATTGAAAACTTCTTTTTTTGGAATAGTGATAATAGCATATACTATTAGATAGTACCTTGATACTAGTAGTGTTTGACAATAAATAAAATATAAATCATTTCTTGATTGCTAAATGCTAAAAAGGTATTTGTTTATTATAGTATTCCTATGTCTAAATATATTATTGTTTGCAAAATCTAAGACATAAGTTATATACCTTGTTTAAAACAGAAAGCTAGTAGTAAGATTTGAGTCTAGTCTAGTTCCATAAGAGTTGGTAAGTTTGCTATATTGAGTTCTCACAATCAGAACTTAATGTACCTAATCAAAGTCCAAAGCTAAATTTGTGCTAAAATTCTTAGTTTTATGAATTGTTAGAAAAATTATAAATCAGATAACTTTTTGGTGGGTCAGACTTTGTCTATGGGCGAGTTAAGTAAAAATAATCTACATCTTGGAGAGTTAGCTAGGGTCAGGAGGTAGAATTTTCCAAGGTGGATGGATAGAATTGTATAGCCTTTTTCCACAGTACTAGTATAAGTGTGTCAGGGAATGCTCACATAAAAGACCTCATTTATTCCAGACATTGTATGTATGTATGTATGTATGTATATATGTATGTATGTATTTATTTATATGCTGGTTATTTTGGAAATGAAGTCTCACAGCCTTTTCTACTCTGACTGGCCTTGAATTTCTAGATCTCAGCTCTTTGAGCAGCTAGGATTACAGGTGTGAACCACTGGCATTCAGTAGACCCTACAATTATATTCTAGGATTATAGAAGCCAGAGTTTTCCAAGTTGTTCCTCCTTCTGAAACATTTCCTTTTTCTTACTTTGTAAGTGATTCCTGTAGGTGAGAAATAGCATCGCTTATAGAGAGGTGGAGAGAATGTAGCTCAGTGGATGTGGCTATGGGAAGTCATCTCATATTTCGCAAGGTTCTATATGGCAACCTTACTTCTGAACAAGGCAGGCAGAAATCCTAAAGATATTTTCCTGTTATCCTAATACTGTCCTAAAACCCTTTTAAGTTTAGCTGCAGAGATAGGGATCACAAACTAGTACAGAAATGCCTGAATTTTATGTTTTTAAAATCCAAGTTACAAATAGCTGTGAAGCTGTTTGAACTAGATAAAGCACAATTTATTGAACATTTAATCTTTTAAAATGATTTTTGGAAGTAAAATGTTGTACTTTTTTAGTATTTACTGGACACTAAATTGGCAAAGGATCTGGAATAACCTTTTGGTGCCTGCAAATATAATGCTATTAAACTAAATAGATACAGTAAATATGTGGGAGTAACTCTCATTAAATGCATATAGTGTGGAAGTGCATCAGTGTACTCACACAACAATTACCATGCTGTAGTTTTTGTTAAGTCTTTCACTGTGTTGCAGGGTGGGTTGTGGATATGAAACCCGAGGTTTATTGGTGAAGAAAATAGAAGTTGAGTTAGAATACTGTGCAGGCTAAAGTAATTGATTTATTGGAAAGGCTAATGTGAATCACAGGGTGTTCTGTATTTGTAACTGAATGAGAGTTGAGAAGTGTCAAATTGTAGATTAATAGTGTCATTAAAAAAGAAACTCTGCCAGTAGAAATTGCTTTGAGGTCTGAGAAGACAGTTTAGAGGTAGAGTACTAGCCTTGAGCAAAAGAAGCTTAGGGACAGCGCCCAGGCCCTGAGTTCAAGTCCCATGACTGACCAAAAAAAAAATTGCTTTGAAGATTCAAGTCCACTAAGGCATTATTTTCTCTTGTGCAGAAGGAAAAAGCAGTTGTCATAATTACAGGCACATGAGTAGCCTGCAGCCTCCTACTAGTAAGATGGTGATATTAGGATATATACAGGATATATGTATAGTATTTTCTTCTTATGTTCTATTCTTCCTTTTATATATTCAATTATAAACCATCATTAGCCTGGGCTGTCCCTACCGCCTAGAACAACATCCTATATATATTGGCATTCGTAAATACCAATGAAGCTATGGGTGGTACATGCATATAATTTTGTGGTATTTAAATGAAAATTATCTTTCTCTTACTGTTTTTTTTCTCTAGGTGCACATAAAGCTCTGTTTTAATTTTACTTTGGACTGGCCATGAACTTATAGATGCAAATTGAAGTGCTAATACTACTCAGAAACATTTTTTTTTTTTTGTAATCAGGGAGTAGAAAGAGAAACATATATGTGCATTACCTTATCCCAGTATCTGTCCATCCTTGGTTGAGGATCTTGGAAACTTCCAAATTATACTACCTTTTACTAAAAGTTGTAATTTGGAGGAGCACAGTTCTTACAGTTTATT